GCTGGACTCTCCTTGTCTAGGACCAGCACCCTAAGGAGAGCGGGAATGTGCACTCAAGCGCGGGGGAAATGCTCCAGCGGCTCAGGAAGAGGGTGTGCTCATGGCTCTCCAGCCACCTCCCCTTTCCCCGTCTCCGTGGTGGTCGGGTCACAGGCCTCCGGAGGCCCCTCCAATATTGGAGCCCACGGGCGGACCTATTTCTCGCAACCAGCGCAAGCCCCCAGGCTATAGTCCTCAGTAGGAGCTGGAGCAGCTGAGCTGAGAACATGGCTGCCGCTGATGCCACGCCCCTCAGTGCCGGGCAGCCCTGGCGCCCAGTAGGGCGAGCACCCCTGCTTCCAGAGTCCACCCTGTGGCTTCCTTGGCCACTGTGCAGGTGTGCCTGCCACCCAGACCCGGCCCACAATGTTGTGTGGTCCCCAGACCCAGCCCGCCTGGCAACAGCCATAGGCCTTCCACAGCGGAATCCCAGGCGCAGGGGTCCTGCGCTGCTGCTGCGACTGGAATAGCATTCCGCTGGATGGCACTGTGGCTCCACAGATCCGTCCTTCTGGGAGCCTGGCCTCTCCCTCTGCCCTTTGAGGATCAATAAACGGGCAAGGAGATGCCAGAGCCTTACAAGTGTACCCAGCCCCTTGGCTTGTCTTGGGGTTTTGGGTGCATTTGGGGTCTTGTCCCCAGCAGGAAGGGGCCTGGAAAGGCCACCAAAGTAGTTCTGGCATCTCGCATCCCTCTCCTCATCTCTTGGCCACCAAATTCTCCCACCCAAGAAGCCGGAACCTTGTCCTCTCAGCCCACTAGTGAACGGTATCTTCAGGGGTCTTCTCTGGGTATCCTCAGGGGTCTTCCCCAAACTTGCCCTTACGCTCCAGTCCAATGAGACATGGAGTCAAGCCTCGTTCTGGGCAGAGGGATCTGGAGGTCCCCTCTTCTCCTGGCACCCTGGCCTGTCTTCTGCTCTCCTCAGGTGACTTCGTTGGCTTTCAGGGCTCAGAGGGCCGGCCCCGCTACATCCAGGGCTTTCGGGCGCTCAGGCCAACCTTGACGCAGCACTTTAATTATCGTGTGCAGCACGAAATCCAGTGGACCCGCGAAAGGCTGTTCACAACGACTCTGTGACGTTCATTTGTTCAGTAGCCCATTCAAGGAAAGTTCACTCGGCAGTGTGTGTACTCTTCCCAATCACCCTCAGAGTAGCCAATTGGGTGAGCCCTGGCCTGTGGTTCAGATGTGATACCTGTGTATCTTTTTTTGTGGTAGCGAAGGGCGGAGGGAGTACAAGGGGATGGTGTCCGGAAATCCTGAGAGTCACATCAGCGGTACCATACTGCCATCAAGTGGTCTCGCTTTGCTCATCGGGAACACTGCAAGCTCCTTTACAGCCTAGGAGATCGACAGAGGCGTGAAGACATGCACAGAGTCTTTGAGTCCGGGTCCCGAAGGTGAAGACGTTGGCCAGGTGCTGGCCAACCTAGGAAGATGTAGAGACGGGCTTCTGACCACAAGGTATAGGGCTCTCGGGCACCTGTCCCCCAAGACTCAGAACCCTGGCGGCCGCCATATCTGGGCGGGATTAGAGAAAGCTGCCAGAAAGACCATTGGCCTGTCTTGTGGATTTGGTACTGGTGCCCCTTCAAGTGCTCTGAGTCCTTCCTGAGGTCCGTGTCAGAGTCATTACCAAGTCCTACAGCCAGGTTCTGAGCTGGAGATTCGGATTGGACCTCAGCCCCAAGTGGTCTCAGACTAACCCTCTAGTCAGGGCACACCATTGTAGTTCAAGAACCTGCTGAGCGCATGAGCCTCTGTGTGTGTGTGGGGGGGGGGGGGATGTCCAAGGGCGCTCTTGGAGGAGGGGTGTCTTCCGAGGGGGGCAGTGCATGGAGCGCTTAGGCACGGGGCGTTCTGGTGGTGAAGTGAGGGACCTGATGTCTATCACCTTAATCCAGAGGATGATTTCCTATCCAAATAGGCATCTTTGCCGCCTATGACCTGATCCGAGGGTAAGCAGACAGTGCAGAATGGGTGTGGGAACTCTTTGTCCCAGGGAACGGGCCCGTGTTGGACACTGTGTGGCCAGGGATGCAGAATCACTTTTAGGCGCGAGCCCAAGGATGCCACACACACCTCTTCACTCTAACCTGCGTTGCTCATCTGGACTCTGCCTTGTCTGGGACCAGCACCCCTGTGAGTGCGCACACGCGCAACAGCCTAGGGGAAATGCTCCAGAGGGTCAAGAACAGGGAGTCCTCAGTGGGATCCCGCCTCCTCTCCTTTCCCGGAATCCCTGTTGGTCGGGTCCCAGGCCTCTGGAGGGCGCTCCCAACATGGAGCCCACAGGTAGACCTGGCTCCCGGAACCAGCACAATCCCCCAAGCCCCAGGCCTCAGTAGGTGCTGGAGCTGCTGAGCTGAGAACATGGCTGCCCCTGAGGCCATGCCCCTTCAGGCTAGGGAAGCCCAGGATCCCAGCTGGGCTGGAATGGCTGCCTCTAGAGCCCACCCTGTGGCTTCCTTGTCCACTGTGCAGGTGTGCTGGGGACCCATACCAGCCCCACAATGCTCTGTGGTCCCCAAACCCAGCCCGCCTGGGGACCGCCACAGGCCTTCTCAAGGGGGTCCTCTGGCACAGGGTCCCTGTGCTGCAGGTGCGGCTGGAAAAGTGTTCCGCTGGATGGCACTGTGGTTCCACAGATCTATCCTTCCGGGAGCCTGGCCTCTCCCTCTGCTTTTTGTGGATCAAAAAAGGTGCAAGGAGCCCTGACTGGTTTGGCTAAGTGGATGGAGCATTGGCCTGCGGACTGAGAGGTCTCAGGTTCGATTCTGGTCAAGGGCATGTACCTTGGTTATGGGCACATCCCCAATAGGAGGTGTGCAGGAGGCAGCTGGTTGATGTTTCTCTCATCGATGTTTCTAACTCTCTATGCCTCTCCCTTCCTCTCTGTAAAAAATCAATAAAATTATATTTTTTAAAAGAAGAGGGTGCAAGGAGGCGCCAGAGCCTTACAAGTCTACCCAGCCCCTCTGCTTTTCTTGGGGTGTTGGGGAGCATTTGGGGTCTTTTTCCCAGCAGGAAAGGGCCTTGAAAGGCCACCAAAGCAGACCTGGCATCTCGTATCCCTCTCCTCATCTCTCTGGGCCACCAAATTCCCCCATCGAAGGAGCCGGAACCTTGTCCTCTCTACCCACTCATGAACGGTATGGTCAGGGGTCTTCTCTGGGTATGCTCCGGGTCTTCTCCAACCATGCCCAAGCGCTCCAGTCCCATGCGACATGGAGTCACAGCTGGCTATGGGCAGAGGGACATTGGGGGTCCCCTCTTCTCCTGGCACCCTGGCCTGTCTCCTAATCTCATCAGGTGGCCTGAGTCAAGTTTCAGGGCTCAGGCGGCCAGCCTCTACCCACATACACCGGTTTCATGTGGTCAGTCCAATCTTGGTGGCAGCACTTTGTTTGTCATCAGCAAATCCAGTGGACCGGCAGACAGTTGATTCAGAAGCTCTCCGTAAAGGTCATTTGTTCAGTAGCCCTTTCAGGAAAGTTCACTTGGCAGTGTCTGTATTCTTCCTGATCATCTCAGAGTGGCCAGTTTGGTGAGTCTTCAACTGTTGTTCAGATATGATACCTATGTACCTTTTATTTGGTAGTGATGGTCAGAGTGAGAGTATTTGGACGGTGCCAGGGAAGTGCCTGATTCACTTTAGAGGTGCAGTACTGCCATCAAACAGTATAGATTTGTTCCTCCCACCAATCTTGCACTATCCTTTCCAGCATAGGAGACCTAAAAGGACGTGAAGTCATGAACAGGGGCTATGAATCTGTCGTTCAAGAGATTGTCCAGGTCCTGGCTGTGTCAAAGTAGCTGTAGAGTCAATCACCGGGTGTCATGTGGAAAGACGCATGGTGGGGGTACATGTCCACCTCCTCACAGAAAGCCAAGACTCAGGACCATGGCTGTCACCATGTCTGGGTAGTACTAGAGAAAGATGCCAGAAAGAACCTAGGCCTAACTGGTTGGTATAGTATAAGTGCCAGTTCATGTGCTTAGGACCCTCATGGCTGCCTTGTGTTGCCAAAGGAGTCCTGGTCTCAGACTTTAGGCATTTTGTTGAGTCACTTCCTCTAGGAGCAGAAGTAGGTTCATCTTTGATGGGCAGTGTTCCTAATACTTGTTCTAGTCTATGGTGAATTTAATGGTAATTCCATTACAGTAATTGGGTCTGTTGTCTTTATCCATAGAGTAGGGAGCCTGGCTATATAGTTCCATGTGGTCAAGGTGAATATAATGTGGTGTAGGAATTGCTGTGTCATAGTCCAATGATTTGTAGAGGAACAAGGGCCATTCATTTTTCCCTTTCTTTAAAATATTACTTATCACAGTGTACTTAAGGATCAGTTTGTTTTATCCAAATTTGCGACACATGTGCTATTGCTCCCAAACACCATTAAATCATAACCACAGAAAATTTTATTTGTATTTTTATATTTTACAACAAAAATCCAAAGTTCTTATTAGGAGTAAGTTTAAAGAAAGCCCATATAGTTATACTTGTACCTTAATCTTGGCAGTTAGAAATAAATACCGTTATTGTGTTTTCTCTTTCTGGATCCCCCCGCCCCTGAAACTTAATTAGTATTATGTGGAAAATCTACTCAGACATTTTAAAAATAATATTGGAAAATACAACTTACCATATAACCAGGTTTTACTGTACTGGTCAATAGTGTTAAGTATCTGTTATGCTATAGATCTCTAAAATGTTTCTGTTGTAGTAATATATAGAAATGTTTAAAAATGCTTTGAAAATGTCTAAGAATGTTTTTAAATGTTTGAGGTAACTTTCCTTGAAACTTAAAGCATGATATTAAGGACACATTCCCCACTGCCCTGAAGCGTGTGTCCCTCATAGATAATGATTTGAACTTCAGTAACTGATTCAGAGTGATTTATCAAGATAACCACTTGAGTGAGTGATGTACTCTACCTAGATAACCATATGTAGCCCCTCGTCCTGTTTGAGATTAACATATGTGCATTGGCTTAATTCATTGATAGCCACCTGAACTGCTGCGGGTGTGGTACACGCTTTAAAAATGGGGATCCTGACCAACCAAATGCTCCTGTGTTGAGACAGCCACAAAGGCACGTCCTCTTGTCAGTCGGGCAAGCGATGCCACTCCACGCTCCTCTTCCTGCCAGAGGACAGAAGAATGGCCAGTACCTCCTGATTGAGACGCGACCAAGCTCTCGGGTGAGGAAGGCTGGCCCTGTACATCCGGACTGGGACGGCACCACCGGGATCCCCCATTAAGCCTGCACCCGTAGCATCAGGAACTTGTGTAAGTAATAAAGTGCTGTGTGATTTGCAACTGCATGTGTTTCATGTGCTGTAATTAACTGTAAATCCGGCAGTTAATTAAATTGTTTTGTGTATGCTTAAAGTTTAAATTAAAGCTTCTGGTCTTTTCGGTCCTAGGCCTGCCCTTGGTCCTGCTTACGTAGAGTAGCCTCTTCGCTAGCAACTACTTGAATGTCCCACACCTGCACAGTTCAAGTTCATCTCAAGGGATGCCTTAGATAAACACCCCAGATCCTTTCCCAGGATGTACATGGGACAGTTTCCATCTTTCAAAAGTGATCTCTATATAGTTTAAACAACAAGTCCCTGTTTTCAATCATCCCAGTTACTGGTATTCGACATTTTATTTAGTTTTTTTATTATTAATTTGGCCACTTGACATAACCATATGTATGTGGAATACTAATAGTATTTTTTATGTGACTGGCCTATTTCACTTGCATATTGTCCTCAAGTTCATCCATGTTGTTTCATGTGACCAGACTGCCTCACTTTTTTTAAAAAAAAAATTCTTTATTGTTGAAAGTATTACTTATGTCTCCTTTTCCCCCCATTGACCCCCTCTAGCCCGTCCCCACACAACTCCCTGGATCTCACCACCCCATTTTCTGTGTCCATGGGCCATACTGACTTTTTTTAAATCTTTATTGTCCAGATTATCAAAGAGGTTCCTTTTTCCCCCCCATAGCTCCCCTCCACCCGGTTCCCACCCCACCCTCTGCCCTTACCCCCCCCCCACTGTCCTCATCCATAGGTGTACAATTTTTGTCCAGTTTCTTCCCGCACCCCCCACACCCCTTTCCCCGCGAGAATAGTCAGTCGACTCCTTTTCTATGCCCCTGATTCTATTATATTCACCAGTTTATTCTGTTCATCAGATTATTTATTCACTTGATTTTTAGATTCAGTTGTTGATAGATGTGTATTTGTTGTTCATAATTTGTATATTTACCTTTTCAGTGTGCTTTTCGCTTTCCTTCTTTCTTTTCTCTTTCAGCATTTCATATAATACTGGATTGGTGGTGATGAACTCCTTTAGCTTTTTCTTATCTGTGAAGCTCTTTATCTGACCTTCAATTCTGAATGATAGCTTTGCTGGGTAAAGTAATCTTGGTTGTAGATTCTTGCTATTCATCACTTTGAATATTTCTTGCCACTCCCTTCTGGCCTGCATAGTTTCTGTTGAGAAATCAGCTGGAAGTCATATGGGTACTCCCTTGTAGGTAATAGACTGTTTTTCTCTTGCTGCTTTTAAGATTCTCTCTTTGTCTTTTGCTCTTGGCATTTTAATTATGATGTGTGGTCCTCTTTGGATTCCTTTTGTTTGGGGTTCTCTGCGCTTCCTGGACTTGTAAGTCTATTTCTTTCACCAGGTAGGGGAAGTTTTCTGTCATTATTTCTTCAAATAGGTTTTCAATATCTTGATCTCTCTCTTCTTCTGGCACCCCTATAATTCAGATGTTGGTACGCTTGAAGTTGTCCCAGAGGCTCCTTACACTATCTTGATATTTTTGGATTCTAGGGTTTTTTTTGCTTTTTTGGTTGGGTATTTTTTGCTTCTTCATATTTCAAATCTTTCACTTGATTCTTGGGATCCTTTTGTCTGCTGTTGGATCTCTGTATATTATTCTTTATTTCAGTCAGTGTATGCTTAATTTCTAGTTGGTCCTTTTTCATATCCTCAAGGGTCTCACTAAATTTATCAGCGGTTTCTAGAAAATTCTTGGAAAAACTTATAATCGTGGTTTTGAACTCTATATCCAGTAGTTTGCTGTCCTCCAATTCTGTCATTTGTGATCTGTTTCTTTGTCTCCACATTTTGGCTGCTTCCCTGTGTTGATAGAGTGGCTTTGTGTGCTAGGTGTCCTATAGGGCCCAGTGGCTCAGCCTCCCCAATTACCTGAGGTGGACACTCTTAGTGCTCCCCTTTGTGGGCTGTGTTCACAGTCTTGTTGTAGTTAAGCTTTGACTGTTGTTGGTATCACTGGGAGGAATTGACCTCCAGATCAATTGGCTGTGAGAATCAGCTGTGTCTGCAGTGGGAGAACTTCTGTGCTGGAGACACCCTTCTGGGGCAAGACTTGCTTCAGTGGGGCTTTGGTGCTCACTGAGTGTGTCCCTTATGGATCTGAGGAGTTGTAATCTGGATGGTCCCACTCTGACCACTGGGTACACTGGCTCTTGGATATTTAAGGAGGTGCTAATTTAGCCTCTGCCTGAGGCTGTCCACCAGGAGCTAGGTAGAGATCTTCAGATTCCTCTTCTTTGTTTGGGGTTTGGAAGTGCCCAGTTGACGTCCAGCTGTGAAGCAATGCAAGCTGCTGTGGGGCCTTGGGCCTTATTTTGGATGTTCTGGGTCTCTCTGACCCAGCTGCAGTTTGTTAGGTTATTTTAGATTGCAAAGGACCAGGCCATTCATATGCAGAAGCCTCTGCTCACAGCTTGGGTGGGGAGAGGGTCTCAGGGAATCAACAGGGCGGAGCAAGCAGCTATGGTTGATCCTCAGTCCAGCCCTAAGAGGCCCTGGGTCTCAGTGTTCCACGGTAATCACTGCAAGCACCTCTGAGAGAAAGCCGCCCTCGAGTTCCGACTGATGTCAGAAAGTCCAGTTTCTCCCTGTATGACTCTGGGTCCCCAGAGACTTGCCCGGAAGTGGAGTTTGGAGCAGTCGGGAGCTTGAGACTCCCTCCCATTTGAAAAAGACAACCGCATCCTCAGTTGCCAGCCCTTTCCACGTGCACCTTGGTACCTCTGCACTTTACTTCCGCACCTCCTCTGAGTCTCAGTGTGCTTTTCTCTTTCCTTCTAGTTGTAGAATTTCCACTCAGCTAGCCTTCCTGTGGTTCTGTATGATATCCGTTTTGTCTTTATTTGTATTTTTGAAGTGGTTGTGCGAGGCAGCAATTTCCATTGTTTACCTATGCGGCCATCTTGGTTTCTCTCTAAATTCATATTTCTTGTATAGCATTTTCATTTGTGTGTTGGCCCCTCCTTCAGATTCGGAACACAGCTGCGAAGGTCACAGTAATTGATGTTCGAACAGCAACAAGAGAAGATTCTCCTGAGTGAAAAACAGAGTGAAAAAGAAAAAGTGAAAACTCACCAGAAAGGTGGAAATTCACTGTGCACAAAGCCCAGTCCAGCTTCAGAGTCGCAACCATAAGTGGGATGGGGACATTTCAGTAATCAGCCAAGTTATAATGGGGAAGAATTCGAGTAAAAGGCAAAAACATCATTGTAAGTTTTTAGCTTGCATGCTCAAGGATAAAAGAATTGAGGTGTCAAAAGATACTGTCTTAAATCAGGCTCAAGGTTAATGAGTGCCTTTGTCATCTTTAACTATGTGGGCTCTTGTTTGAACTACTACATGGCCACTTCGTATTGAGGATCAAAAGCCTACAAAACCTAAGGCCCTGGATCCTCCACCTCTGGTGTGGGAAGGCTCATCAACTAGAGAAAATGGGGCCAACAGTCCTTTTATAAAAGCACTCTTTAATTCTTTGTCTGAAAATACCACATGACTCCTTGGGACTGGCAGATTTTAGCTAAAATGACTTCAGATGCCAGTCAATGCTATGGAGAGCAGAATATGATAAGACCTGTAAACAGGCTCTTTGTGGGTGTTCACTGGAAACCACCTGAGAGCCCTCTGGGCCTCATTCTGGCTGTAATTCCTGGGCACTATAAAACATCTGAAAGATCCATGAAAAGAACTCTGATTTATTCAGTCTTGCCTGTGAGTTATGATGCTTGTGTGTTGGTTGTTGTTTTATCTGTCCTTGTTGTTTGGTTTAATTTGTTTATTGTTAGTCTATTAAGTATGCCTCTGATTTATCTTCATAGAAAAGAATCAGTAGCTAGCCAGACCATTACTGACTTTCCCCAGACCAAACAGGATGTGGTGGTGGGGAGAAAGAATACGAGCAGTACACATGGCTGATAACACAGGCCCTAGGATAATTCCCCTAGATAAAGGTAGGTAAAGTTAACTAAAAATGGCCCCAGCACATTAATTACTAGGTCTCTTGGTGATCCTGTAAAATGGACACCCGCTCTCGGGAGTGTTATTAAAAGTCTCATTTTCACCATGTTTTTGTTTCCCAGTCCATCATTTGAAATTTAAGTAAGATGAGTCATTTCTCACAATCTGGGGACACATCCGGGACTTCTATACCCATGAACAGAAAAGGGCTAGCTCAAGAGAAGGTGCGTGCCACCTGATTTTGGGTGGCCTCTTGGCCTAAGCCCAAGACTAGTCTTTTTTTTTTTTCTTTGGATGGCAAAAATGACACAAGGAAAATATACAGGCTGGGTTTTGGAAACAAAATTAATGTTTCCATGATAATGGGCAGTTCTTGAATAACGATGAACCACATTCCAAGGTTGCCTCCCAGGTCCTGGGGGCACTCTTGTTTTATAAAGGAAAATGAAATAAAATAATACTTTAACATTAAAGCCACTGAAAGCCAGTGAGTTATCTCTGTTACAGAATTTGCCCCCCGAAAAAATGCCTTGGGTAATAATAATTGGCTTTAAAGTCTCAAAGTTGTTAAGGCAAAAAATATATATCTAAAATAAAGGGTATCTGGTAAATCTTTTTCAGTGATAATTGCCTAGTATATATGCCTAAATGTAGTTTTCCAAAGTCTTTGATAACTTAAAACTTTGGGGGGATAAAAAAAAACTTTGGAGTTTGCTGAATTAAATAATAAAAATTATTAAATATCTAGATATTTTGAAATAACAAGATACTGCTGAGTTGCCTCATAAAAAATCTAGAGGATAGATTTGAATCTATTAATTAAATATGTCTTATATTTTATTTGAAATATCTCTTAATCTCTCCCTTTATCCCTGTGTATCTCTCCCTTTATCCCTGAAATATCTCTTAAAATATGAATATATTACTAATCTGAGAAATGCTAAGTATTTAACTTGCCACCTAAAATTTGAGGCTTCTAAGAGTTAGAAGTTCAAATTAAGTTGGGAGAAATTATATAGTTGTGATAATAGAATACATGAAATATGGAAATTCATTTTTGAGAAAAATAATTCTTGATTTTCTCTGAAAAATTAGTAGCTTGAAGTACATTATAGCCTTTAGGCATATGTGTGTCTGTATACTATGTGTGGTAAAATTTTAAACTAGGATATAATATTATTGGCCTGATTAATAAAAAGGATTAAATCTGTGGTCTGAACCAAATTTTTAATATTAAAACCAGTTTAAATTCAATTAATGGCTTTTAGAGTAATTACAAAAAATGTGTAATATAATCTTTGGGTTATGTATATTTGATAGACTTTCCACGTTAAATTTCAAGACTTTAACTGAGAGATAGTTTTGGGACATTTCAAGGACCCTGGAATGATTCAAGCATTTATTAGTCTAATGTACTTGCTTGAAATCATGTGGGAAGCTTTGTCAAATATATCAAGCTTTGTCAAATATATCATGTCAAATATATATATATATATATAGAGAGAGAGAGAGAGAGAGGCATGATGCAGGAAGATTCGTGTAAGAATGTGTCTTCCTTCCTCTGGCTGCTGGCACCACCTTTGCTATGGCTGGAGCCTCCTTTCTGCCTTCGTTCTGGCCCAGAGCCACCTTTCCTCCTTCCCATGCTGCCCAAAGGCCTAGAGCGGCAGGGGTGGTGTGGAATGCCTGCGTCATTGCCATGGCGATGATGCAAGCATCCTGCCTGGCCCTGGGCCACTTGCCACCTGCATATGCAAATTAACCCACCATCTTTGTTGTATTGATTTGCATGCTCACTCCTGATTGGCTGGTGGTTATCACTGAGGTATGGTCAATTTGCATCTTGCTCTTGTATTAGTGCAGATATATACACTGAGTGGTCAGATTATTATGACCACATGACGTTTGTAGAAATTAGCTATAGTTTCGTGCTAAAGTTGCTAGAGGGCCAAACCATTATAAATAGGGAAGCAGGTTGTTTATTACGACAGTAGAAGTGATTTTTTTCTGAAGATATGGGTAAACAACGTGACTTAACAGCCTTTGAACATGGGATATGTTGACCGTGAGTGGCCAGATTATTATGACCACCACATCAGTACTTCGTTGGGCCACCTTTTGCCTTCAGTACTGCAAAGATTCTTCTTGGCATTGATTCCACAAGATGTTGAAAGGTGATGCGAGGAATCTGACACCATGCCTGATGAATAGCACTGTCCAGTTCTGTGAGATTTGATGGTTGTGGAACTGGCTGCCTGATGGCTCTTTTAACTTCGTCCCACAAATGCTCAATTGCATTAATATCTGGTGATTGTGGGGGCCATCTAAGCAAGGTAAAGTCTCCCTCATGTTCTTGAATCCACTCCTGCACAATACGACAACGAGGCATGGCTCATTGTCTTGTTGGAAGAAGCCATCTCCATTGGGATAGGCCATCAACATGATACGATGAAGTTGATCAGCAACAATACTTAGGTATGTTGTGCTATTCAGACGTTTATAACGGTCTGGCCCTCTAGCAACTTCAGCGTGAAATTATAGCTAATTTGCTTACAAACATCAGGTAGTCATAATAATCTGGCCACTCAGTATATATCTAATGGTAAAAATCCTTTGTTTTTTTTTTTTTATATTTCTATAGATTTTAAAAAGTGAAGGCAGAGGGAAAGAAAGATAGAAACATCAGTGATGTTAGAGAAAACTTGATCGGCTGCCTCCTACACGACCCCTACTCAGATTGAGAGCACAACCCAGACATGTGCCTTTGACAGAAATTGGACAATGGTTGGAAAGGGGGCATGTAATAGAATGAGAATGGATTGATTGAGGAAGTTTCTGTGCCAAAAAAGAACAAGGCCAGTGTCTTGGGTGAGGGATTATTGGGGAATAAGAGGAAGCATATGAGTAGGGTAGCCTGACCTTATCCTTTTCTTTGTCATAGAGTTGGGAAACGGTCTTCCAATTCACTTTAGTACTTGAAGTTTCTTGGTCCATCCTTGCAGTTGGGGTCTGATTCCTTATCTAAACTAGGCCACAGTATTTTCTTAGTAACTTTGGCTTTGTTGTAGCAACAGACCCTATTCCAAGGCTCCTGGCCTCTATATATACCCTGCAGAAAAATGAGAAGCTACACCCTTGAGCTCTGATTGGCCAACAGTCAGTGGTCTTCACAGTGTGGCTTGACATCACAAAGTCTCAGCTTGACCATCCAGGAGGGGTAGCTGGTAGAGGACACAGAAGACTCAGGTGCTCTGGTGAGAGAAAGGGGAGCTTCCACAATACCTCCTAAAATGTTTCCCAAACGTACCTCTCACTCCCTCATTTCCTCTAGTTCAATGATTGTCCAGCATTTGGCAGGGAGGTGGTGTTTTCTCTATGCCATTTCCCATACCCTCCCCTGCCCCCATTCATTCAGTGGTCCATTCTATTATCCCCCAGATATTATCATTACCTAGTATTTTGTGTGTTGTTTTAATGGGTGTTTTATTTTAGAATAGTTTTAGATTTACAGAAAAATTGTGAAGATTGTAGCCGTATGCCCTATATCCAATTTCCCTTATTATTAATATCTTACATTGTTATGGTGTAATTGTAACATGTAGTGAACCACCAGGGAAACAGTTGCAATCCAACCTCAATTCTCTAATATCTCTAATATCAAACAATTTGGTTCTAGCCCAAGTTGTTCAAGGAAACACTGTACCAGAAACACACCAAGCCAGAAAATAATGGAATGAAGTATACAAAGTGATGCAAAGCAAAGGACTGAATCCAAGAATACTCTATCCAGCAAGACTATCAATCAAAATTGAAGAGGAATCAGGAGCTTCACAGACAAAAACGTGCTAGGGGAGTATATCAGTACCAAGCCAGCTATGCAGGAAATGCTAAAGGGAATGCTGTAAAAAGAAAAAATAGAAAGGGAGGAAGGATCATAGGCATAAAGTACAGAAATGGCTACAAACAAGTACCTATCAATAATAACATTAAACATAAATGGATTAATGTTCCAATCAAAAGACATCGAGTGACTGAATGGATAAGAAAATATGACCGGGCAGAACTTGGCTGGAGATCCTGGCTAGGCTGCTGATCAACTGAACATTGTCTCCATGTCATTCCTTCTTCACTGACTCCATCCACACCTTTGGGGACCCCTGGACCTGCTGGGGTTGGACCCCAGCACTTCAGCTCTCTCTCCAGAGCCACAAACCCCAGTCTCTCCTCACATGACTCTAGTCCACTTTGCCTTCCCTCTGCCAGAGCCCAGGGTGAGTGGCTGTGAATGAGATTTTGTGCATTGGCTCTTGAAACAGAATTCTGTTTAGCTATATGTATGTATTCTGCATGGCTTATTATTTTATTTCAATTTTTAAATCATATCAATGTATAATCTAGGTAGAAAAATTAAATTTAAAAAAAAAGAGCAAGATAAAGAAAATAGAAAAAGAAAAAAGAAGACATGACTCATATACACTGAGTGGCCAGGTTATTATGACCACCCCATCAGGACTTCATTGGGCCACCTTTTGCCTTCAATACTGTGGCGATCCTTCTTGGCATTGATTCCACGAGATGTTGAAAGGTGATGCGAGGAATTTGACACCATGCCTGATGAATAGCACTGTCCAGTTCTGTGAGATTTTATGGTTGTGGAACCAGCTGCCTGATGGCTCTTTAACTTCCGTCCCACAAATGCTCAATTGGATTGAGATCTGGTGATTGCGGGGGCCACCTAAGCAAGAGAAAGTCTCCCTCATGTTCTTGAAACCACTCCTGCACAATACAAGCACCGTGGCATGGCGCATTGTCTTGTTGGAAGAAGCCATCTCCATTGGGATATGCCATCAACATGATAGGATGAACTTGATCAGCAACAATACTTAGGTATGTTGTGCTATTGAGACGTTGTTCCACACAAATTAAAGGGCCCAAATTATGCCAGGAAAACATGCCCCAAACCATAATACTGCTCCCACCAGCTTGAAGGGTGGTACTCATGCATGTGGGGTGCATGCTTTCATGCTGTTTCTGCCAAATTCTCACTCTGCCATCTGCATGATGCAACTGGAAATGTGATTCATTGGACCACATGACTTTTTTTCCAATGCTTGACTGTCCAATCCTTGTGATCCTATGTAAATTGGAGACGTTTTATCTTGGTAACTGCAGACAGCAAAGGTATTCGAACAGGCCTTCAGCTTCCATATCCCATACAATGCAGTTTACAGCTAATTTGCCTACAAACGTCATGATAATCTGGCCACTCAGTTTATATGCTCTGCACAGGAGACTCACCTCAGAACAAGGGACTCACACAGACTGAAAGTGAAGGCATAGAAAAATATTTAATCAGACAAATAGAAATGAAAAAAAAGCAGGGGTAGTAATACTTATATCTGACAAAATAGACCTCAAGGTGAAGACCACAACAGAA